TTCCATGAATTTGAGGAATGTGGCCATGTTATTGCCTGGCTGAGGGGAAATTGTTCTCCAGATTGCCTTTTCCAGGTTTTTTTTTTTTCCACTGAGGCGTCACTGACTTCTTCCCACCACGCAGTTATTTCTGTATTTCAGCAAAATTCCCCACTTCTAATCTGGATAGTCCTCGCTGGGTGGAGTGCACAGCCCACATTGTTAACTCCGGATAACAGTAATTAAAAGAAAATAAAATCAAAGGTACTCAGAGAAGAAATGGAACGTTTTTCTGTCAAAGCCAAAATATTATATTAAACTTCAGCGGTTTAATAAAATATTATGAAGTTTGGGGACATATTTTTCCTGGGACTTAATCTGTTTATATATGGAAAAAAAAGTAAATAGAATATCGCTTTCCTTGACCACACAGAAAACCTGATCTACGGCGGCCGCGCCGCTGTATGTATTTCTTGGTGAATTGTTTCTACCTTGGGTCTCGCTCCGTCAACGTGCACTGGGGTTGCTGGGGTTGAGGCAGGGGGAAGTGTGACTTTGCCATGGGGTGAAGTGCCATGGATGTGGCTGAGCTGGCAGTGCCACAGCAGCCGCACGAAAGCCTTTGGGAGGTGTTTTGCTATCTAAAGAAAGTGGTAAGGTGTTAAATGCCAAAGGGCTTTAAAATCCTTTGTGCAGTTCTCGTGCTCTGCGGCACCACCAGCACTGTGGCTGCTGGGCAGTGGGTTAGGTTGAAGGGACCCCACCAGTCACTGGTGGATAACGTTATGTTTTCCCCCATTTCATAAAGTTTCCCGCTCTTTCCGGGTTGCTGTTGCCAGCACAAAGTGAGCACAGCCTCTCAGTACCCGTAAACTTTATTAAATGTGTACTTTTTTCATTCTTAAATTAAATTAATTCATACTGAAACAGCACCAAGGGGAGAAAGGTGACAGGATCACAGAGAGGAGGGAGGAGAGAAAACCCAGAAACCATTATATAGGAACAAGATTTTTTTTAATGGTTAAGAAAATGGGCTTTTTTTTTCTCCCCACTCTGGAGGCCTAACACTGTGTGTGAGAGAGAGAGAAGTGGAGAGGCTAAGGATTAGCATTAGTCAAAATAACCAACTAAGTGTGGTGGAGGCATGACCAAAGCGGCATATCATTGATTGAAATTAAATTCATTAATGCTGCACCCCAAAGACCACCCCAACAGCATATAGAGGAGTCTTGCTCCCTGACCTCCATGACATATTGGTGTTTATGTTCCTTTTAAATGTCTGAATTAGTAGGTGAAAGCAGTTCATTAGGAGTGGATTACACCAGGCTCATGAGTTAACATGGATGCAGCAGTCCAGTCTTTGCAGGAGAAGCACCTCTAGCCCCTCAAATATGCAAGGAGAAACACGTTGGGTTATTTCTGGCCTAAGACAGAGCTGGGTCCTGCTTTGGCAAAAGCAGTCGGAGTGACGCTCGGTTCCTCTGTTTGAGGGTCAGGGTGGCTGACGCGATGCTGCAGAAGGTGCATGGGGTCATGCAAGCACAAGATGAATTTTGGCCCTTGACATGGACATGATGCTTTATAAACGGTGGATTTTTACACATTGCATGGTGTATAATAAGCCCAAGCTTCATCAGTGACTAATGACACGTCGCATTATCTGAACTAATACACCCAATTAGTTGCTCATTGTCAATGTATTGATTTTTCAGCTTTTTAAGAAAAATCAAACTTTGTAGATCGCTTTCATCTTTATTTATAGCTGCTTTAGGTTTCTTGTCCTAATACACATGCTCAATACTGTAGGCCTAGGAAGGGTCCATCCAGTTTTCAGTACAGGGATTAGTTTGCATCCAATTCTTCTTAGGTTAAAATAATCTAAACTTCATGGCTGGATTTTAAAATGAGCCTAAAGGGTTTAGAGGCTTAAATGTTATTACAGTTCAAAGTGATTTTGATTGCATGGCCTTCTTTTAAAAGCTGTTGCTCATAAATGGAGAGATTTTTCCAAAATACTTATAGCCCAAATAGAAAAAAAATCAATTACACTGTCATATCCCTAAATAGTTTTACTGGGTGTGCACCTAGCGATACAAAACCTTAGAAATTAATGGATATAAAGTGTCTGTATTTTGGGGAAAATGTGCCTATATGGTTGAATTCAATGTGCTGGAAAGACATTTTTTAAAGGCACGAAAGATAGTTAGGCCAGTGTATGCACCGAAGATGTACTGGTTTAACGGGAGTGATTTGGTGGCAGTTGCAGAAGCTCCTTTGTATGGAAGTGCTTTATGTCACTATAGCTGTTCAATATGGGAAGAACAATCTGTAGTGCTGTAAAGCAGCTTTATACTAATCTAAATGGGACCATATAAGAGGCTGTAGCAATATCATTATATTGATTTTTTTTTAAATCATACACTTAAGTGATATTTATTTTTGTCAAAAACTCATACAGATCAGCCCAGTCTTAACTCTCCTTGAAAGACTAATGATCCCCCATGTCTGGCCTGACTAGTGTTTCTGTGGGAAAGGTATTCCCTAATAATTCACCCTCTATTTTCTGCTGTACCTTAAGCCCATTCCCTCTTGATCTAGCCAGAAAGGCAAAGAGCAGGTCACTCCCCCTCCTTCCTGTTGATGCCTTGGGGAGATCATCACCAAGATCCCATTGCCTTTCTCCTTCCAGCTTGCTCTATTTGTGACTTTGCAACTCCAGCAGTGAAATCCAGAGGTGCTGGTAGCCCCGGAAGCCAAGGCTGCGCTATGTGATCAACTTTTCCACCTTTCCTACCTAATTTCTTGCATAAACCCTGAGGAGGAGTGAAAGAAAGGACTGGTTGGGGTCTTGCTGCACACCTGTTTGCATAGTCCATAGTTGCTTCCCATGCTTTGTTTGGAGAAGATGTAACAGGTGATGGGACATACTGAAGGACATACTGAAGCAAGGATAGTGGAAAAGAGGTGAAAACAGCAAGGGTGACACCTCGACCTGCCATGCCAGGGCAGATCACTGAACACAGCCCTGGTTTCCTACTGCCAGCATGTCTACCCAAGCACGGAAAGGTAAGGCTTTGCTGGGTAGGAGAAAGTCCTTTGGCCTCACTAAACTAATGCAGTTATTTTAATTCCCTTGGGAAAAGGGCCTTGCGTGCAAAACCACTTGGTTTGTGTCTTCAGCAGAGGGTAGTAAGGTAGTCATTGCTGGACTCTGTATCGTCAGGAAAGGAAAGAGGCACATAGGGATGAGCAAAGAGGTTCAGGGGCGCCAGCATGGGTATAGTCCATCACCTGCAAAATAAGCTAGTGCCATGAAGTTGCCATGGGATTTTCCTAATCCATTGGGCAAGAAGATGGATATGAAAATGACTTTCTTTTGGACTGGGCGTTAATTTTGTATATATAGTCTTAAATTTCCATACAGTCTTTTTGGACTGCCTGAAGTCTTTGCTCAGCTGTAATCTTACACCAGTCTTGGCCAGAGCACAGGCAGCCAGTGAGCTGGGACTCTGGACTTCTTCCTAACCACATTTACCTGGTGACCCCCTCTTAGGTGGTTATCGCTTGTCAGGGGCCTTTTAAAGTCAGATTGAAGAAAGGGACCATTATCATGATCAGTCTTTTTACAGCACCAAGCACTAATTAGGTGCTACTATAGTTCAGAAAATACAGATGATAAATAACCAGCGGTTAAGTGGGCCCACTGTAACACATGAGCTTAAGTAATAGGTTCCTGTTGCTGGGGTATTCTTATCACCCTAAAAAGGTAATGAGGATGAAAACAAAGAATTTAAAGCACCTGTTTATTGCAAATAGATTTGTTTTCCTTGACAGTTTTTAAGGCCCTGGAAAACTAGTGATCTCCTTCCTATTTTCCTCTTGGTTCTCTGGTAGGAAATGCAAAGAAAGCCTCCATTGTTTCTCCTCATATATGTTCTCAACTCTTTCTGAACGTGTTTTATTTTTTTCTTTTGTTTTTCAGACAATCTTTGCTCCATCTATTTTTCTGTTAGGACATGCCCAATCCAAAGCATTCTTCAATATGGCTTAGGTATCATACGCAAGACAGCTCCCTCCAAGCTTGCTTCCCACACAGGGGAAGTGGGAAGTTGGGCTAGTCCCTCCAGGACAGGTATGACACAAGTGGGATCTGAGCATGGATCCTCCCCTGCCCATCATCCAAGTCACTTCCGATGGGGCCTGCTGGGCCAAGTGTGCTGTAGTGAGGAATAGAGAAGGGGGCAGCATTCCTGGGAATGGGGAGACTGTTTTAGAGCCAAATCCCTTGAATGAGGGCTTTTGATTATCTTGAAAATTTTAATCATAAAGTCAACAGGATAATTTATTTTTCTTTTCCTTTTGGCTACCAAAAGTGTTTCAAAACAAAACAAAGGAGTATTGGTTTTGGCTTCTATAAGATGAAAAGTGCTAACTTTGGTTGATGAAGAAAGTTTGATTTGGGGTGGGACCAAAAGTCAAAGAAAAACTGGGTAAATGAAATTCTCACCCATAGTTTAATGCAAATTAAAAAAAAAAAAAAGTCATCTCTGGTACAATTTTAAAAGCCAAATCAGGTATTGGGCTGCCTTTGGCTCAATTGGCAGAAGTGACTAAAGTCTGATCTAAAATGGGATTCACAAACCAAATTCTGGCTGACTTTCCAGTAAGACTGGGCTCCCTCTAGCACCCATGTCACCTCTGGAATGGAACTTGTGAGCATCTCATTTTTTTTTTTTTTAATCTGTCCTGTTTTTAGAGACACAGTGCTAAGTCTTGGACCCATTAAAGGAAATGACCAAGCTGTGGGTGATGTCAGTAGCACCAAGTTGCAGTTCACAGCCTCCTTTGTCCTCAGCTAGGACACATCACCTCGTCTCCGAGAGAAGAGAGAAAACAAAGCAGCATCAAAATAATAATAATAAAAAAAGAAAACAAATAGCATTTTCAGCACAACTATTATTCTGTATTTCCCCCATCTCTACTGATATGTAAAAAAAATATATATTATATTATATTTTCCTTTTCTTAAATTATTTTTTGAGCCTCAGTCCCAGCCGAAGTCCTGCCCCGTCATCTGGTAGAACTTCATGTTGAAAGGCCGGTAGAAGTCCCGCAGTCTCTGCACCACCTCCTGGTCGATGTCGGGGTGGGTCCTGCCTTTCGTCTTCCCCAGGCAGTGGGGTTTGCTGCTGCCTTCCGCCTTCTTCAGGCACGGGAAGCCCTTGGTTTTGTTGAAGTAGAAGTGTTTGTCCGTGATGATCCTCTTGAGGCCCAGAAAGTCCTGGACTCTGCCCAGCTCACCTGCGGGGTCGCTGATCAGCCTCTCCCCGCTGACAAAGAGGATCTGCCCGATGGGGAAGTAGAGCAGCCAGTTCTCCAGGTGCTTGGCGTAGATGCCAATCTGGATAGCGCTCCACGACGTGTCGATGAGGCCCGTAGTCCTGTTTTTGAAGGTCAGGCTCTCAAAGGTGGGGATATCGGGCTTCTTGGAGAGCGTCTGCGTGTAGTCCGATATGGCTCTGGTGACGGGGTCCCGCACGACCACGATGAGCTTTGTGCCCTTGGACATGGAGGAGATGCGGGCCGGAGCCTCCTTGGTGACAAAGTAGCTGGGGGTCTTCTCCATGGTGATCTGCCCCTCGAGGGTCCTGGGCATGAGCTCCCTGAGAAAGACATAAAGTGTCATCACATTTGTCTTCTCTTTGCAAGAAGGCTCATAATGCAAATCCAGCAAAGCACCCGAAAGCACTCCCCATTTCTAGCACTCCCTATTTCACTTCCTGGGCCTGTTTGGGGAGAATTAGACTCTCAACCTAGTGGACTCTAGACATATTCAAGGCCTCTGAGGGGCCTTCTGAGGGGGACATGATCTCCTATCTAGTATGATAAGAACAGCAAATCTGGACAATCCCGGTGGCCTATTCCTTTAAATTCCTCTTCACCCACACTGGGATTTCCTGCACACTGGCTTAAATTCCCTGGAAAAACAGTGAACTCCTTGAGTAACAACACTCCCTTCCTGTAGAGCATGAGGGATTTTCAAGGGCCAGGATGTAAGACTCTATCTTTTGGTATTTCCAAGGTGGCAGCAAGTTGATGTCACACAAAAATGTGCAATAGCAGCCCCCTGACCTCAGTGATTTCCTTCTTCCACCCAGAGAAATCCTACACTCCTGGCAGCTCGGGAAGTTCTCCCAGATGGGAGCTAGAGCAGGTGCTGGAATTCATCCTGCCCCACAGATGACTTGAAGATTCAAGTAATCTTGGGCCCATGCATTGGGCATCATTTTCTAAAAGACCAATGGATTTGGCTGCTCTGCTTAGATAACCCAAGCTCTTCTGTGCTCTACCAGGTAAGGCAGAGAGATACAGGAGCCATCACATCAACCATTTGTCCTTCTGACATTCAGTTCTGCTGCTGGTAGAGATATTCTCAGCTTGTTCCTGGTACTGCAGGGCAAATTCCAGGCCAAAACCAGGTCCTGGTGCAATGCGCCAGTGAGGCCGAGTTGTCACCCAGAAAGGACCTCGTGGCTCTTGAAGTGATGCCAGCCTGTGAGACACTTGTCTGGGAACCAGCTCCAACCCAAACACCTCCTGCTAGTTTCCCATCCCCTGAAAAGGGGTAGCTCTGAATCAGGTATAGTATGAGGGGGAAAAAAAAGGAAAAAAACACATGCACTTCAGGCAAAGAGGTGACCTTAAAGGCTTCCGCAGGGAGGTGCTGCCTGCCTTGCTGCTCCTCTGTTCTCCAACATATCACCCATGAACGGGAGCCAACATCTGCGAAGCACCAGTCATTTGCGCTGCTTTGTCATTTTGTCATTCGCTTGCACAAACCCATCTCCGTTTCCGGGTCCCTAGTAGAGTTTTCTAGCTACAGCTCGGTCTCCGCCAAATGACCCAGTCCTTCCCAGAGGAGATGGAGAATGTATGGGAGGTGGTGGCACTGCTGGCAAGCTTGGCCTCCACGTGACTAGCAGTTCTCATGGCAACTGCACCCTCAGCTCCCAGGAAGGAGGGACCTGCACGAGACCACTCTGTGACCCCTCATCTTTGACCTCGCTGTGGTGTTAGCACCAGCACGCTATGATGAACTGCTCCCTGCCTACATTATTGCTACTGTCTCGCAGCAGCAACATCTGGTTTGCAAACATGTGCAATATGCCAGCAAAATTAAACTCATCTATCAAAAAAGCAACAATGAAAATCCGACGACGACTGAAAACACCAATAACAACCCAACCCCAGGCTGAGTTGTTATGTTACACACGAGGTAGTGAGGATTGACCCTTCCTGGAGCAATTGTTTCTGTTTGAAATCATGCTGCACATAGGTGGAGCAAAGACATGGTTCTATAGACGCCAAATCTTCCCTCGTCGATGCTGAGGCTACCTGTTCTGGGAAAGCTCAACACACTAGGAACCTCCAGGCTGGAGAAAACAACAACGAGGGGTGTAAGAGAGCTCTCTAACATAGTGAGGGACATAGAGACATAAAAGGAATCACTTTTGACAAAGGAAGAAGGATGGAAGCAGCCTGAAAAACAGCACAAGGAAGGTCTTTGCCAAGCAGGTACATAATTCAGCGGTGGAATGTGCTGTCACCTGATATTGCCTAGTCCGAAAGCATTCATGGTTCAGAAACTGGAAAAATTCATAGTGGATGAAATCAGTCAGTAGCAATGAAATGTGATAGTCCCAGAGACTCTTCAGATCTGGAGAGTCCATAAACCCTATAAGCTGGGGGAGATAAGATGAGAGGACTCCCTGCAAATCTGCTTCCTTACGCTCTTCTCTAAACACCTGATACTGGCCACTGTCTGGAAGAAGAGTCTGGGCTGGATAGCTATTTGGTCTGGCTCGCTACAGCTGTTGATCCATTTTTTTATGTCTGTGGTGGTCTTTTGAAGAGAGTTTTCCCTCACGTGCCCTAAGTCCACATCCCACAGTACTGCATTGCTTCCCGCTGGTTCAGAAGCCATGGCCTGCTGCTCCTCAAAAGCCTGCAGAGGTGCCCCAATGCTGCTTTCTCCTTTCCTAAAATGTACTTTGGAAACCTCCATTCAACCAAGGGATATATGGATGAGCCCTGTTCAGATGTGCTGAGGACGAGACCTGCCCGCCCTGCAGGAGTGCTCTCAGAATCACAGGCAATTGAGGTTGGAAGGGAGCTCTGGAGACCATCTAGTTCAACTGTCTCAATCCAGCAGGATCACCTAAAGGATGTTGATGAGGATCCTGTCCAGATGCCTTTCAAATGTCTCCATGGATGGAGACTTCACAGCCTCTCTGGGCAACCTGTCCCACAGTTCTCAGGGATGCCCTCACTTCTGGCATGCTATCAGAAGTGGAAGAAGCTTTTTGGCACACACACACAGACAGAAGTAGTAACATTTTTCAATCTTGCTACTTGGACCTGAGCTGCACCACTGCCACAAGTGGGGACACTTTGTCACAGATCTAGAAACCATGCGATGGGAAGGAGGTAGAGGAGAGGTGCTAAAGCCATTGAGGTAGGACAGATGGGTCGTGATTCATGGAGGTACCAAGTCCCTCACTGTGGAAGCAGAGTCCAGGCACAAGGGAGCGTGCTGCACTGATAGAAGAACTAATTGCCACCATTTGCCACAGGACCCTTTAATGAGCGCAGCAGTGGTACCCTGTTTGGGGTGCTGTAGGATGGCACACATCTACTCCCCGTTGGTGAACCTCTGGCCTCCCAACGGGGACCCAGAGCAGGTCTGCATGCTGCAGGAACAACTGCCTGATGGCAATTGGCAATCGGCTGCTCCTGCTCAGGTCTGAGCTCAGTGTGTCCTCCAGACGAGGAGGTTAACCCCTTTGGTGGCTGGAGCCTGAAACACAAAGGCTTTCTTTAGCAGCAAGGAATCAATGTGCACCTCTCCGGCAGCGTCGGCAGGAAAAAATGCGCCAGGAGCCACCGGGAATGTGCTACCACGGCTTTCGGAAGATTAATTAATTACAAAGAGCATCTTTCATGGACGTAAACAGTTGCCTGGGGGCCTCCCCGGACTAATGGCATCTGGGTTTTATTGCAAAAGAGCCACTTGAAAAGATGAGAACCACAAAAATGTTTTTGGCAAGAGCAGTCACCCAGTGGGCCCTGCCAGAATAAATGGATGCTGTTATTTTAATTTTAGTAGAGCTCGGGGCTTTATTTAATTACTTAATAGGAGAGGAAGACTTTCCTCAAAGGGAGCATTTGGGCTACACATGCACATTCGTATTTGGCCTTTTTCAGGTCTGCACTTTCCCCTCCTGCGGCACCGTAGATGCCCCAGTCTTGGAGAGGCCCCGGAACGGCCGCATACAGCTGAGACCGCAGTGTGGAGGGCTGCTGCCGGAGGCGAGCGCGCACCCCACCAGCTACACGTGCTGTCCGTGGGATGCTTGGGGTGCCTGTGAGGGTCTCCCCCATCCCTGCTACCACTCGTCCCCCTTGGAATGTCCTTTTCCTGCTTGCCTAAGTTACTTGCAGTGGTCTGCTCTCCTTTACAGATGCTTCCTACAATCTCTGGGGCCGGCCAGGCCCACCAGAAAGCGGAGAAGGGGTTTACGTTGGTAATGAAACAGTTGAGATTTATGCAGCATCTCCCCTCTGAGCTGCTGCAAGCAAACCCGCAGTGCTGGGTACGGAGGTAGAGGCCCAGTTACACCAGCTGCTGTCCCGAATGCCTCACTGGCAATGGAGATTTTGTGCTGAACTCCATCTGTGTGCAGGTCCCAGCAATGCACAAGGTGATGCTGAGGGATTTTGGGGGGTGCCTTGGTGTGTGAGAGCTTGGCATCTCCCTGAAGTACCTGGGGTCGCATTGCAAGTGTCCCAGTGCAGCTTCCCCCTACCCTGGCTCCCCGGACAGGCATCGCAGGGAAGCTGGGGCTATCCTTACACAATAGGGGGATTGATCTTTGGGGTCTTTATTACTACTTTTACAATTCTTTTTTGACTGTACAATGACATCTGTAAAGATCTTGCAGAAATTTTTAAGTTTCCCAGGCCAAGCATGATTTTGGTTCAACTTCAGACCAGGGCATCTGAGTCCCCAGAGACTTCACCTGCCCTTGAGTCCCCATTCTTAGCAAGAGCATAATTTTGCGGAGATCATCACTTTATGTCGACAAACCAAAATTGCCTGTTGGGCTCAGTTCTTGCAAGCCTGAGCACCCAAGAGTTTCTGAACATGCAGCTTGCAAGAATTCATGCAATAACACGTGCTGCTGGTGTTGGCCACCAGCCTTCAGCACGTCCCCCGCTTGGCATTGCCAGGGGCTGGAAAACTGGTTATAACAGCTGATTTGCCACAGGTGATTCGTGCTGCTGTCCTTTCTTTTTGCCCCTTCAACTGCAATCTGAGCAATGAAACAAGCAGAAGCACTAGTTGTGCAAGAAAGGGACTCTTGTGGGGGTGACAAGACAAGCCCCAGGGCCACTCTGCTTTTCTCTCAGAGGTCCCAGCTCAGATCATTGACACTGGGTGCAGAAAGCTCTAGGTGGGCTTGCTTTTCAAGTCGAGCTGCTGGAACTACCTGTCCCTGGCCCAGGACCTCCCCTGCAGTGCACAAGGGATGGACTTGCAGAACGCTCCCCATCCGTGCAGCCACGGATGGACTTGCAGAAAAGCCTTTCCCACATAAATCTA